AAAATAGTACCATACTTTACTTACTTTAATGAAGAATTGAGAAACATGAGTTTGTCAGTGGACCCAGAGGCTATTTAGAGGTAAATTTACTAGTGAGCAGAAGGAATTTATACACACACACCCACACATATACATATTTATAAGATATATATAATATATATACACCTATATATATTATATATATATATCTATAATCTTACACATCTGTAATGGAGAAATTATTTGTGTTCTGAGCCTGGAGTGAAGAAATGATACTGAATAGAAGATTGGAGTGACTACTTTTTTAGTCTTCATTTTTTACAGATGTGACTGAAATTTGATGATGACAAGGCACATAAGATTAATATTAGAATTAACTCATCACATCTTTGTCCTTATTTTATTCAAATTTAGTCAGTGCTTATAGCTCCTTATGGCACCACCTCAATTTATAACAGCATAAGCTTTCACTTTGCTAAGGATTACAAGTAAAAATTAAAACTTTAAATAACCACCACCTTCAGTTTATTCTCAAAATTTTCTATATTGCCCCAAATTCATATCATAATTAATGAAACTGGTCAAGATTTAATTGTTGAAAGTCAAATTACCTGTTCTAAATCTTTGCATAAAAGAGCTGGGTCTTTTTGGAAAAACACATCAAAAGGTTATTTATGCTCTTTGTATATTATGTGAATTTCAGTTTTGTTGAAGGAAAGATGAGTAAACACAATCCATAAACAAGATTAATAAATATGGTATCATTGCCAATTGCACAATTTTACCCCAAACTACACTTTGAACAGGTGAAGAAATTAATAACTATCCCAATAATACTAGTCAATTCTCATTTATCTGGGCATAAATATTCATCATGAAATTTTAGTTTACTATGTAGTAATTCTCCCACAAAGAAAGGCTACACTGGAAGAGGAATTGCCTCTATTAGAAGAATACTAGGCATCCCCTGAATTTTCATGAAAGTAATAAATGATAGATATAACATGTCTACACAATAAGTGGGTTTATATGAATTTTCCTGTGTGAGACTATCCTCTAAATTCAAATAGTAGTAGCTTTTTAGGTGATAAGTGTCTTCAGATTCACCCCCAGAAAAACAGGTTTATTGATTTTATCTGGAATTCCAAGGGCTTATTTCTTATAATCCTTTTGTAGATCCAAGGTATCCTCAAAGTAAAGGTCTATTATTAAGGACATCCAAAATTTGTAGGTTACTTTCTTTGTTCAGAATAATCAAGGGGCAGGATTCAAGAGAAGGCAAGGAATAGCCTCTGCTTCCATTGACAAGTTTCTCCTTTTAAGGAGCCCAATTGCATCAGCATCTTTTTGTAATGACTGCATATGCTGTTAGAAATTTTTTTTTTCCACAAAAGGGAATGTAGGTCTGTAGGTGGGATTTCTAACCTATTTAATAATATTTTACCTATATTAATTAACTACATCACTAGTGGTATTAAGGGCCAAGCTAGTTCAGACAATAAAGGATTTTCTTCTTTCATGTCTGTGTATTCTTTTAGTTCTATTAAGTCACTTTGCTGGTACAATATCAATACTGTCCTTTGAATTTTAATAAGCTTTTTTTCTGGGACTAATGATTATAAACTAAAACTAATTTTTTTTAAAAAAAGATATTAAGCACAAGATAAAAAATACCCCTAAAATTGGGAGAACTTGTGTATCATTCCAGAATCAGAAAATACTTCACAAATTTATGAATGAATGTTTTCCTAGAAATGGTGATATCAATTTACATAAATTGTATCTGAAAAGGACTATTCTAGGATAATCAAAACTTAGAGTTTAGGAGCTGGCTGTCAGTTAATATTTGCTCTTGTTAAAAATGATTAATAATATTGAAATATGGAAGAAACCAGCATCTATATATTTAAGATTAAGTCAGTAGGGTCCAATACATATAGTATGAACAAAATAGTAAACACAAAATCATTAACTATTTGAACAATCAGGTGTTTAGCTATAGAAATGTAGTAGGTTCGTGACTCTTAACTATGTCTTGGATTTATTTCATAGAATTGATCTAAACTTAAATCAGCTGGCTACACAAGATACAAATATCTTCTCTGCCCACAGAAGACCTAAGAAATGGGGTACAAATTAAATAATCAAAGATTTGAGCACCAGAATAAAGGATTGGACGCTCATAAGCAGCAAGTTGAGGTTACACTAAAGAACCAGATGGACTTTGTATGTATCATTCAGAGCCCAAGCGGCGATTGATGAAAAACAGGCAATACCAAACGTCACACATGACCAAGTCTGGAAGTCCATTCTCTCCCCCAGCTTGGCTAACATATTCACATTTGCAATTGTGTTTTTACAACTAGAATATTCTTATCCCCCAGAACCCCACCAAAAAAAAAAAAAAAAGAGAAGGATGAAACCTAAGAACTAGGGGAAATACATTTTTTCTCATTTTATTGTGAGTTCTAACAGAACTTTTGTTAAACATAGAGCACGTGAACACATGACAGTTTCCTTCATTTGTTCTCATATGGAGCTGATAGAAGAATACTTGGGAGGAATGTTTCTAAATCCATAGATAGCTTCTTTTGCATTTATTTCATTTTTTAAATATGACAAAGCATTAGAGGAAAAAAAAGTTCCTTAAGTTGTGAGAATATCAAATATTACCCATCAATCCCTGAATCATGCTATTCAAAGTGCTTAAATCTACGCTAAAAATAGAACAAAAAATGTACTCCCAATGCAGCTAAATTAACACCTATGGATGCCTAAAATATGACTGTGGTCTGATTACTTCCTCTACATTTATTCCACACTTCCATCGTGCACATAAAAAAATAAAAAAATAAAAAGTTTCAAAAAAGCCCCAAAGAATTAAACCAGGCCATTGCCACATTTACAGTTTTCTGAGCAGTGGGGGAGTTTGGAATCCAGTCCAATGAGGTTCACTGCCACCAGTCCCTGACAGGTGTCCATAATACAAAGTAAACAATGGCCTTCTCCGATTCTGAACATAACCCAATGTGCAAAGCTGACCTTAAAGTTTTATGTGTCCTTGTAGCTTCAGTTCTGGTTTGTGAAAATGTGACACGGATCCAAGGGAGCACAGGAATAAAGACAGATTTGTAGAGAAGGACCCAGGCAAGTTGTCAGGGAAGTAAACATTTTTTGAGCAAATAAAAATCAATGCACATCCTAAGACTCCTTTACCTTGTCAAACAGATACTGGGACCTTTGCACTGTTATAAAATGCTTATACTCATCTCTCACACGTTTGCAGTTCTATCTTACCCTCCCCAATGAACTCTATTGCAGTTTACACTTATTCTTTTTTTGTGGCCAACTCACAACTCACACCAAACTGTAGAATTGTTTTCTCATTATATGATGGTAGGAATAAAGCAAATGTACAATAGTCACTACACGAGTCCACAGATAATGACTGGGATGGAAGTTCCTTTGATGAATCACTAAAGTAATGTTTAAGTTCTATTATCTGTTTCTGTCACATTGATTTTTGTAAAACTAAAAGCTACATAGGTAATATTTCCTTTTAACAATTCTGTTCTCTGTAGGTTCCTTTGTGATTGATTTTACATCATTCTTAACATGAATATGAATTAGCTGCTTATATCATCAATTTCAAACATAAAGCTAAGTGGTAAGTGATGAATTTCCTGGGAGCATCAGCTTTCTATTTCTGAATGATATAATCATATAGCTAAAATAAAATCAATTCTTTATACAGTAAAATTAATTATTTTAAATACTTTCTGATCTAATTTAAAAACTATCTTTTGTAAATAATGTTTACTTTGAAAATACTGATCTCTGTTGTTATTCATATGTTTGACCTCCTGAGTTCTTATTTAAACACCTTATATTAATATGTGTTGCTTATTCACAAACTGAAACCAAACACTTAGTCTTGAATGTAGCCTTAAATATTAAACACAAGTGAGTTAACATTTAAATACAAGGGGACCCACAATAAGATTCACAGATTTTCTCTGACTCTTTAGAAAATAACATTTTGTATAATACAAGGTGACAAAACATATTTGATGACACATCCTGTTCTTCCCTTTGGTTTGAAAGCCTTCAATGTAAAATTTCATTTTGACTTGCCTTGATTCACCCTTTTGAGTTAACTTGCCTGGCATTTGCACATAATCTCATTTGCAGAAAAATTATAGCGGGAAAAGAGGAAGTAGAATATTAAACAAAAACAGCCACAAACACATTCATGCCTTTCCAGGAAGTGATCAAATATAGGGCTTGATTTTTTTGTTTTTTTGTTTTTTGTGTGTTTTTTTGTGTTTTTTGTTTGTTTTGTTTTGTTTTGCTGTTTCATATATATTTATATTTATATTTATATATATATATATATATATATATAAGGGTACATCAACTCATTTAAAAAAACGGTAAGACAGTTAGACCCACCCCCACCCCTCTGCAGAGTTTACACATCATGCTGCCATTAGAAGGGTAGAAGTGGGGAATGAGGTGGGACAAGGAAGAGATTCAGGGCCCTGACAGGCAGGCCCTCCTATGAACAAGTGTTCTTCTCTCTCTCTCTCTCTCTTGTTTTTCACAAATGGCAATGCTGGCGTTCGTTGCACTGCTCTCTGAAGGCCGACATGGCCCAGCTGATTCTAGGCAGAACTCGAGAGAGGATCCGGTGCTCCTTGTCCCATCAGATAGATTTGTCCAAGCACCCCAAGGAAATGTTAAAAGCAAAATAAAAATTTAAAAAAGGAAATAAAAACCCATTCTAAAACTAAACTAATGAAGCAAAAAAGGGTTTTCTACTTATACATCAGTCTCTTCTTTAAAAAAAAATGTAAATTTACAAATTCCAATGACATATAAAACAAAGTCAAAAAATGTAATGGTAAGAGACATGGTAAAACAGGAAGACACTGATGCTACAAAGAAATTCCAAAAAACATATGTACAAGACCCTGTTTTTCCTCGTGTTCTAGAGATTGTAATGCATGTTTTTAACAGCAGCAGTCGAGGATTTAGTTCCAGGCACTGGACTGCAGATTCCGCTCAAACTCCCAGGAATGGGATGTCCCTTGCTTTTCTGTCACCAAATTACACTGGATATACTGGTCTCCCTTGGCAACAGCGGCAGGATGGCACTGTTTGTGTGGGCCTCATCTGGATTCTGCTCCCTGCTTGATTTTGTCTGTGGCCGCTGCCCGTTGATGAGTGTCATAGGGATGTTACAGTAGGTATGCTGATTTCCTATGGAGGTAAGAGGCAGGGTGCCAGTAGGAGGTACGTCGTACTCATAGCTTCGGTAGTAGTGTTTCTGACGCATTTGCGAATGGTACGTGTTGTGAAAGGTAGAACGGAGATCTGGATGGGCAGTGGCTAGAGCTGTGGAAGTGGCTGCAGCCATGGAAATGGCCGAGACAGTCTGCAGCTCCCCAAAAGGCCCCTGCTCACTGACATCTAAAGCCTGCTCGTGTGTAATGGGTTCTATCCTCTTAAAAGGCATCTCATACTGCAAACGTTTCCAGAACTTAGAGTTCAATTTGTTGCATTTTGGTCCATGCCATTTAATAACTGTCAGGAGCTTGATGGTGTGCTTGAGGGCCTCCACCTCCTGGTAGTTCATAATTCCTCGTAGCTCACTGCATTCAATTAGTATCACTTTAATTTCTCCAGTCACAAGCATATTTCGAAGTCTGGTCTCCAGTTCAAAGATGCTCCAGCCCCTTCTAACTACGTAATTTGGGGTCATGACAATGATCAGCCGCTTGCTTTGATCTACACATCTTGCCACATCTTCAATGTATGCTAGAAAGAGAAAAGAATGTATAAGAATGAACAAGTTAATCATTTGGTCCAGAAAACCCTGGTAAATTCTCTATACATGAGGATTGCCATTTGTTGGGAAACACTTTGAGAGGATGAAAATAGCCAATCATCACTTTGAAGAGAGCTTGGGCCTTACATCTTGTAATGTTGGAAGTATTTCTCCCAGATACAAATATTTCATTTGATTTCATCCAGGCTCATAGAAGGAGATGCTTTAGAGAATAATTAAGCATTTTCTCTGGGGTATCAAAACTCAAATTTCATACGGATGCACAAAGACATTTCTTTTTCAGAAACTAGTAGATACAATTTTTGAAGTCAAGAACCCCAAATTAAAACTCTATGTAAAAAGTAATGATGCAAACAAATTATGCAAATGAAAACACTAACTTACTTCCAGTTGGGATTAAATCTCTATCTGGTATAAACAACTTATATCCATAATGTTTTTCAAGCATATCAGGTAGAATTTCAAGGGCAAAACGTTCTTCTTCCCCAGTCTCTTGATTCCACTGGTCAGGATCCACTTTGGTATATGATAGGTAAGCATCATAATCTTTATTATCTGTTAAAAATACAGATACAGAGTAAAGTTGAATTCAGTACAAAGAAAACATTAGAACATAAAAAAACCAATCATTTATTTTCATAAACACCTTCAAATGTCTCATTCCTGGAAAACAAAATGGGAAACCTTCATTAATTTTATTAAGTGTTCGATAAAACCAAATATTCTGAGACTAGCTTGGAAGTAGAAGGGGTCATATTTTGATTTTTGTTGTTGTTGTGAAAATAGTAAGAGGAAAATCAGTGAAAAGAGTAATGAGGACTGAAGGTGTAAATCAGTGGTATAGCAAGTATGTAACAGGCACAAACCCTGGGTTTCATTCCCAGCAAATGCAAAAAAGAAAAAATATATATATATAATGAGATGCTGACTTCTATCATTTTTGATGCATAGAGTATAAGAAATCTTTACTGTTTATAAAAACTGCATGTTTGAATAGTAGTATGCTCTTATTGTAGATATTACATTCTTACATTCAACCAATCCTGCCTTTTTGTTTTGTTTTGAGAGGGGTACTTGCTATGTTGTCCAGGCTGGCCTCAAACTCTGGTCTCAAAAGGTCCTCCTGTCTTAGTAGCTGGGATTATAGGTGTGTGCCACTCTATGAAGTTCTCTTCTCTTATAATATCATCACTTTGATTAATAAGGTAGCTAAGTCATAACATTTCATGTTCTCAGATAGCTATGATCCTATCTTTTTTCTTTTAATTTTTGAGATGAAAAGTTTTCACTATGTCACCCAGGCTGACCTAGAACTCCTGGGCTCAATTGAGCCTCTTGCCTCAGTCTTTTGGGTAGCTGGGATTGTAGGTATACCATGCCTGGTTTGAGCAATGATTTTTAGATTCAATGTGCTGTGCACATAGCACCAATTTTGGAATTATTGATTAATTTCTCACTGAGACTCAGTTCTTGGGTTGCAGACTGAGAATATTATTAAATTGAATGATTATATAAAACATTTTTTTACTGGTATCCATTTATTTTACACATAAAGTAATGCCAAATTGTTTGTCATCATTCTATTCAGTTTGGCCACAAGAATAAAAAAGTACAACATAAACTAAATGAAAGTTAGTGCTAAAATCTTATTTTTCTCCTCAATCTTCCCCCTTCTTACATGACAACTTTAAACATTTGAGTACTATTATCATGTGTTCTCTTTATCTTATTTTGTTTTTCTAATTTTGCATCTCAATTTCTCATTGGTTATTTCTAGAATAAGAAATCATTTTAACTTCTAGATAATCTCTTGTATATCAATTTTGGTTTTAGAATATGATGTCAGGATTTATAATTCACCTCAATTCTAAATACTGTTAATCAGATTAGTTAGTCTATCAATATAAGTATCTTTAGCTCCAGTGTATTAATCAATTATTAGATCAAATTGGATTGCAATTCTCATAAATTTTAGAATGAAATGAACTTTGAGTTAGGCATAGAATTTAAAATCTGTGAGTGTAAGATATCCAAGATTATATGACTTTTTTTACCATTGCTCTCAGTGACTTGGGGATACTCCTTCAGATTTCAGGGGCACTAACACTCACTTTCTGAGATTTATATAAGTTTAATTCTTATAGTCAGATAATCTTGAGCCATGTGAGAAGTGGAAAGTTCAGTGTTCCATTTTCAGAATATAGTATTTAGCCTTAAGTGGGATATTAAGATCCAATCATAGGTGTTTTGAGCTTCCCAATCTTTATCCTATCATAGCCATTTTAACTGTGGCCCTTCCTTTTGCCTGCCCCAATTTTAAATTTAGTCAGTTGTGTAGATTGTAATCCCAAATTCCTCCTATCAGAGCAGAGGACAGTGATGGCTTAGGGATAAAAACAAGTGGACTGCCCACCCAAGTGTTCTTGCTTGCCAGACTTTGTTCGGTAGCACACCCTTCTAACAGAAGTCAAGTTTTCCTTACTGAGCTAGTTTGAAGCAGTGTTTGATTCTTTGGCACCCTGGTATTTCTAACAGCTGTCTAGAAATCATTCTATGATTACAATTTTCAGGGCAAACTGAGAAAACTGATTAATACACTGAAAGTTAAAACAGGTATCTAAGAAGCTAACAATGCCACTATAGGAACCCTGGTAGAAAACTTTAAACTATTGAAGATTTCTTTTTTTAAAGCAGCTTTTAGGGAAAAAAAAGTTTTAGAAAATAGTAACCATCCAAAATGTGTTATATTTTGGTATTTCCTCTATTCTTTGTTCAAGATATAATTGATGATAGATTACATTCAATTTTCACCAGAAAATATTATGTTTGGCATAGGAAGGCTTTGTCTATAGGCCAGAGTCAGTCTAAAATGGCACCATGTGCTGATATAAACTCTTTAGTTGAGTAAGCAATCATAGCACATAATAAAGAAGTATATCATTTGGGATTAATATTTAGTTAAAATACTCATTCTATAGATATTCACATGCATTTCATATAAAATATTAATTTTTCTTTGTAATATAGGTCAGGTGATTGCAGTCTAGTAGAAAATAGATAAATCAATAGTCTATTTCTATGGGATAAATGTGTTACTAGAAGTAGTACAGGTATCACAGGCCAAAGAGAGTACTTTGTAAGCCAGAATAATATTATTTTGTGCATATGATACTTTTTTGTGGGAAATTTCTTTTTTTTAAGCTTGCCCCCTAAACACTACAAAGTGTTGAAGCTCTTCTAAATCTGGGGTGTGTTCTAGCTAGATTCTTATTCTTTGCCCTTTGTCTTCTCTAGGATTAAAAATAACATGCTTACAACATAACAAGCTTCCTATCCCAACTTCTGTTCTTCACCTTTTATTTAATTTTCATTTTAATAATAAAACATCTCACTGCTTTAGTGTTTAAACCTAAGGTGCAAGTTCTATTTACTTTCTTTTTTTGCTAGTCATTTCAAAGCTATTCATTAGTACAAAGAGTCTATGTTCGATTTCCTTCCTAGGTTAAGCTCAGTTCATTTGTCAGCTGTTATATTTCACCCAATTTTCACTTTCTTTCTCTATGGATAATAAGAATAGAAAATGGTCAGCCAATCAGGGCAATGGTCCCCAATTAAGGGGACCTTCCTGGACTACCTGCAAAGACCTTTCTGGACTACCTGATAAAAACATTAATGGACCCATCAAGACCTTTTTCATATGCAAAGACTCCTTTGTCTCAGAGTCTACAAAAATGCTAGATAGGATGAATCTAGTTACAGGAAAGATTAAAACTCAAGGCTAAAGAACACAGTCCATGATTTTGGTACTTTTTCAATGCCTGTTTAACATAGATTTTGATCAATGCTCATACCCAAAAAAACTATATAAGCCCTTGAGCTAGCATGCTAAAATGGATTTTCCTGCTCTCAGGTGCCCTCTTGCATTCATTTTTCTTCTCACTGAAATAAATACTATTCTATTTACTCTTCCCTTCTGTTATTGTCCATGGATTTTATTCTTCAAATTTTTGAGACAAGAACCCAGAAATAAATTGGTGAAGCAGAGAATCTAGTTTCATCTCAAAACTTCAGTTTCAAATTTAGCCACCAAATTTATCTTTCCAAACTAATCAAAACTTATGGAAGCTCAAAATCTCTATGGCTACCCATTGATTGTATAAATATTCAACAACTAAATCTGTAGTTTGGTTTCCTTTAAATTGAGCCTGATTTCCCTCAGTCAGAGATGATCTCTTTTCAAATTTAGTATATCATTGTGTTCTTTATCTTATTTTCTCCTTTAGACTTTATGACTCTTGTCTCAGACATGTAAGTAGGGATAGATAAGATGCTCAAATATACTTGTTGAAAAAATGAATGAATTTCTTTCATTTGGGCCACATGTGACACATACTGTGACTAGTTTCAAGAATTTTTAAATACCTGGCCATTTCTCAGACCATATGGCTTTGGATATGTAGATTCCATGGTGCCCAGACTTTTCAAGAAATTGCTAAGAGCTGTGAGGGTTAGAGGTTAGCAAGGTTCCTTTGGACCTTTTGGAGTAGTCTTGAAGTGTGGCTCAATATGGTTCCAAAAAATCCAAAAGTCCTATGGCCCATGTCAATGCCACTAGGAATGTGTTTTGTAGACTGGAGCACAAATGACAAACATTTGGAAGACTTGATAAAACATAGATTTCTGTGTACCCCTTCCAGTGTTTCTCATTCAGTATTTGTAAGTCCTGAGAAACTGCATTTATAACAAGCTCCCAAGAGATGCTTCTGCTGGTCTAACAATTATACTTTGAGGATCTTTGTTGTAGAACAGAGTATAGACATGCAGAAGTCTTGATGACATCAAGCAACTGCAGTCAGCTTTAAGGTAATTGAGCAGAGCACCATAAACAATGAACCTTGCCCTCTTAGCTCCATTAGAAATGCTTTTTTTTCATTTAATTACCATCTACCAGTATTTTAATTTTACTGACTAAATGAATAAAAGGCTCAAACATAGATTGTTACCATACTTTTAATCTCTTACTAGGAAAAGCACAATTCAGCCAAGAAATAAATTTGGAGAGATCTTTTTATCTATCTTCAGAGACCATTTTAACTGGCATAAGATAGGTTTGGTTTCTCTTGCCATCTAGGTATTAGATGGAAGCTCTTACCTATGAGTACACAAAGATGTAAGTTCTCTCTCTGTCTCTCTCTGTCTCTCTCTGTCTCTCTCTCTCTCTCTCTCTCTCTCTCTCTCTCTCTCTCTTTATTAGCTACAGATGACCATACAATGATCTTGACAATTCATACATTTGAATCAAATGGGGTATAATTTCTCATTTTTCTGATTGCAACCTTGCAGAATCACATTAGTCATGCAGTCATGTATATATCCACAGCAATAATAATGTCTATTTTATTCTGCTGCCCTTCCTATCCCCCCTTCTCCTCCCCTCCCCTCCCATCACTTCTCTCTACCCAATCTAATATGACACACTTTGTTTTTTTTCTCCTCACTACATCATTCATGTATTCTGTATAACAATGAGGGTCTCCTACCATCTTCCGTGCAAT